TCTTCAATGAAGAGCTACAAACCACCGAAAAAGGCCCAGATGAGCTCAAAAGCTTCAAAGGATATTAGGGTTACGAACTCAGAGGTTTAAGAGTGATGGATGCTGAAGGTGGGCAACCTTAGCCTCACTCTTTCATTTAAATACCCGAGAAATTAGGGTTTAACCTTCAGCCACTCTCCACATCGTGGCTAACAATGCCACGTCGTGGGGGCTCATTAAAGTCTCACGTCGTGGTGAGCCTTCACCACATCGTGGTCAACCAAACTTCAAGAATTAATTGTAAAGTTTTTACCTTAGAGAGATCGAATATGCACGAATATGATGAGAAAGCATGAAAAGACATTATACATATGACCAAATATGCTATTCAACATAATTATGTAGAAAAGAAATGTACATTGCCTTAAACGGTTGAGAAACAAAGATTGGACAAATACATAATAATTAATTGAAAGTATACCAAAAATCAATTATTATTATTATCATACTCTCGATCATCATGTAGAAATGATTTTTAATAAAATGATATATTTGATTTTTATAATTATTATAAAAATATAAATCATTTTTACTATAATACGAAATTCGTCGTATATGATAACATAATTAATTCTCAGATCTTAAGAATTGTTACCTAATAAATTATACATCGTATCAATTATGCAACTTATCGAATATTATGAGAATTATTGGTTTTCATGTTGGTTGGAAACTGGAAAATGTTATAAAAATAGTTGTTAGGCTGCCCGAATTTCGTCATGAAAGACAATAAAATTTGGAAATATATTAAGTCTTACGGATCTCAAATACTAAAAGACTTAAATCAAAATCATTCATAAGCATCAAAGAATTATAAGTATTCTAAAGTATTATATCAGAGAGTTTAGGATTAGGATGCCTAGACGTATTGTTAGGTTCCATCACACCCACGCGACGTTCTATATGAGCTATGTTTGTTTCTAAAAGCTTTATGAGCTAGGATCATTTCCTAAGCTATGGGTTATGTTGTTGTGTACACTGAGACTGGTTGTCTTAGTTAAAATCCTCTATGCTATAACCGTTAATCTGAGATGGATTTATAGTGTAAATCTGATTTTACATCATAGATTTATAATAAAGAACTTTGGTGTAAATCTATGAAAAAGGTATAGATTTATGTGGGTCAATATTCTCCGCCTGTGGTTGCTAGCTACCACGTCGTCTAACGAGACTAAACTCACATCAAGTGTTCTTTCTTTGTTACCACATGACTTTTTAATGTGTTAGTAATGATCCAGATACCTCCATTTCTTGTGCCCGTCTAGGGCAGGAAGGTCTATAGTGTCGGTTATAGGCTCACATTAGATCCCATATTTGTTTTGTTACCGTATAAAATTTGTATTTGGTTTATACAAGGTCTTTGTTCACTCATACTAGTTGGAAGAGACTGTATTTAGTGGGATAGTTTGTGACTCAAAACGATAAGTACCAATACCAGAAATTAAGTCATATCACACTTAATTAACAACATGACATGATTGGTTAAGGTTTATTAACTTACATTTAAGAAGTTATTTATATAAAACCCTTTGTATTTATATGAAAATACAATATTTATGTGGCAGGAGTTTGTCCCACTAGTTAAGTGTCGATTTCCAAATTAAGTAATATAACACTTAATTAATACCACGTCACGAATTTACAAATTTTATAAATTTGAAACTTATGAGTTTTACATATAAACTATACAAATGCTTGTACAAGGTTTCAAGAGTAAGGTTGGCTATTTTATGTTTTCACAAAGTCTGATATGACTTTATTTTATATAAATTGGTATTTAAAATATTTATATAAAAATCATTTTGGTCATGGGAACAGTAAAATTTGATATAAGTTTGATTTACTTATATATTTATCAAAAGGTGTATTTTTGTATTTGAGCAAACAATATTTCTAAATGAGTCTAAATACATTTTTATAACTCAATTATTTTATACTTTTGATAGTAAAGTATGTATTTATAAAAGCTGGCCAACCAGATAAATTTTATAAAACCTTTTGAGTATAAAAATACTTTGTGTCAAAACCTGTAGAACTCACCAACAATTTTTTTGACGTATCTTAATGCATGTATTCTCAGATTATTTACAAGGTCGAAAGTGTTCGTACAAAAGACCCTCCGTTATTTTTATCATACATTTGTAAACGTTGAATTGTTAGGCGTGTGTCGTGATTTAGCAATAACTATTGTCAATGAAATTTCTATTTCGATAATAATAGAAGATTTTATTTGTATTTTTCAATGTATGTTCAATAACTATGATCGTTGATTTACGTCGTGCACCTCGGCGTTTTCACCGGCGGCCAGGGGTGTGACAATATGTATATCAACAAAGAACTTGACAAGCTTTGCTCCGTTCTATAACTCTTAACTTCTAATTTCCATCTATAACCTTTTCTCCTTAAGTACAACCTGGGATACATGACATAAAAATGGATACGTAAGATAATAATGTCTCGTGAGATACACGGATTTCTGATCCAAAACATTTCAAAGCTTTTAAATGAAAATAATTACATACATAACATAACATAACATATCACATCATATATTTTCATACATAACATTACATATCATATCTTATCATACCATTTCATTTAATCATTTTCCATTTCTAAGGCCAAGGTGGAAAGAAAAAAATCAATCCACCAAGGTATCATAATTGGCCAAGGTGAACAGAACCAAATCAGTCCACCAATGTATCATAATAGGACATTTACTTTGTGACATAGAAGGTACCACCCTAGTATATTCCTTTAGTGCCTCTTATGAGGTATCATGGCCCGACAATTTTCATATTTTTTTACTTTCTTTTTAACTTTTACTTTCCACATTATCAATACTCACATCGTCATTTATAATAGCATATGTTACTAGTAAGATATACTTTGAAAAGTAACATTTCACATATCAAACATTCATTTTTCTAAAACATTATTTGCTTTAAAAAACATTCTTGCCTTCAAGGCATTATTTCAAAACATCATTTCCAAAATCATTTAACACATTTCATTTCAAAACATTTCGTATATCAAAGCATTAGTATTTCATTATCATAATTCATAAAAAACATTTTTTCCATGTACCCCAAAGTGGAAAAATGCCAACACATACCCACCTTAATCACACATAGGTTAGCTAGTTCTCTTCTAATTCATTTCCTTAGAACAACACTCTCAAACATCACCTATATAACATGGACATAAGTCATTAAAAACGCCCAAAATACCCCTCAAGGGCTCCATTACTAAATTTTATCGATTCAAATCATTATGAAAAATTATGAACATAGGCGAAATTCGAGTCCGTATGCAAAAGTTATAAGGAAAATATTGAAGTTCAGATTTTTGGTCGAGCTACCCTCCACGCGGGGTCGTGTCCCAAGGCACCCCAAACACACTCACAAACTCACTTTTTGATGCTTAAACTTGCTTGGATGGTTTTGGTCTTTTAGCTAACCATATGTAACAACTGAGAAGGTTTCCAAGAAATACCAGATGACGTTTTATCATGTCAAAACATTCAACTTAATTCATTAAGTCCTCAATCAAAATGTTAAGTTCATAATATTTACAAACACTCAAATGAAAAGGGTAATGAGCTGAGGTTGCTCAAGACCACTCTTTAACCAAAGAACACTCTTTAACCGATATAACTTATTCACAAATCATTTAATACATCATTGGATGTTATCAAGTACATAAAACCACAACCAATCTCATTCTAAGTACCTAATGTAACTATGTAATCCTCAATTTCATTCCATGTTTCCAAATTGCATTGGGCCAAAACGATCACTAGAGCTAGAAATTCACCAACATTCCTTCATGTTTATGTTCTAATATGTAATATCATATTTAAAGTGTCAATTCATGTTCATAAATATCATTCACTTGTTAGATGTAATTCATCATGTAATTATCAATTTCATTTATTAGGTGTGTTGCTTAGGAGCAGGCCCGGGCCTAAGGGGGTGCAAGATGTGCGACCGCACAAGGCCCAAGAAAAAATAGGGCCCGAAATTCAGCCATATCAAATATGCCTTTTAGTTCACTGGCTTAGGGATGCACCGTATTATTCTTCATGTAGGCTGCCAGGGTTCGAATCCCACTTGCGGTTGCTCCTTTTTATTTTTTTACCAATCAGCATTTTACATTTTCTGCTGCTGAATCTTTTTATTTTTTTTCTTTTGATTACTCATTTTCCTTTTTGAAAAAGAAAATCAGTTTCAATTTTTTTTGTACCCACGTTTGATCTAATCGACCCATCTGATTTCATGGACCAATCTCATTTCATGGACCAAATGTAGTCTATGTAGTCTATTTCCAATGTAGTGAAAACAATCAAATTCAAAGCTATTCATATATTAAATATAGAAAACACTTGCATCAATCTTTTTTTATATATATTTTATATCATTAAAGAAAATTAATTTTTTTATATGATTTTGTTTTTCAATTTTCGTAATTGCCCCCTTAATCGCAATACTAGCACCCCGTATGTGCGTTAATGGACTAACATTTGAGTTCATTAGTCCATTAAACCCAACAATTTTCTTTGTCGGCAATTCTACGCACGTCATTGAGTATACTCTAATCTCTTCTTCGGCCACTTCAGAAATCAAATTAACACCTTATTAAATTGACGTTCTTTTGTTTTGATTATTTTTATAACATTTATCGACTTATCTTACTATTAATTTATTTATTTATAAATATAAAAAATATAAATTTAGGGGCCTATTTTTTACTTTCCGCACAGGGCCTTCAAAATTAACAGGCCGCGGAGACCTAAGAATTTAGAAACATGGCAAAATAAGACTTGAAATTGCCACCTTTATGTCTTATTAGATTAGACGTTGGTCTTTTCATTTGGACATAAAATGGAGTGGAAGTTTTAGCGGATCAAAAGCGTTGGCGCAAATGACCTAGCAGCCATAAGAGGTGATGCCCGGTTCATTATGAGTTTGCTTCCGTGGGCTGTGGCCCAGCTCCTTCCTCCGGTCAAACATGACAGTTTCAGTTTCCCTGTCAGTCAAACCCTACTCCCCTTCATTGTTTCAACTTTCATCTTCTCCCCCATCGCCGCCTTCTTGAAGAACGTTGGTAAATCCATGCCGAAGGCGACGTTGGTCAGATTTTCGTGGAAAACCACAAAAATTATCTGGTCGGTCTCTGGAATCTGTCGCCAGAGAAGGAAGACGACGATTAAGAAGAGTGGCAGACCAACAGAGGGCCAGCGATTGTAGAGGTCGTCGGCGTTGCGTTGGAATGAGAGTTTCTGCAACCCGAAGGTCAAAAAGTCATCTCTTTTTGTTGAGATCGAAAACCGAACCCTAATTTGTTCAGCTTTTGGGTTTATTTGATAGTAATTTTGTTTATATGTGTTTGAACAGGAAGCAAAGGAGGGGATGAGATTGGTGATTGTATATCCCCTGAAGAACCTGTAAGTCATGTAATTAAATCAAGTTAATTAGGAAGCCAGAAGTTCTTAAGATCTAATCGACTTGTGTTTACCAGGGATTTGTTGCTGAATATATTAACCGAAGACATACATACCATTCTCAAATCTCAACGTCACAGCATCTCAAGGTGCACATTTTTCTTATTAGCAAAATTACACTGTTCATTTTTTTTTTCATATCAACTTAGAAGCTACATCACAATAATATTTAATAGTTTGGTAAGGTTAGATTCTTTCAAATACTTCATAATTTCCCTTTAATTTGATGAAAGTGCATATTATTATTATTGTTTGTTAGTATTTTTTATTACACGAAGCCAGAAAACAAACTACAGTTACATAAAAAACAGCAACAGAAACATGTATTCAAAATGAATAAACCAAACACAGATTGGACAGGGTTGTCTAATTTTTTACTGTTGTTAAGGTGTAATGCTCGAATTATATCCAACAAGAAAAGTATAATAATCGAAAATCCTTCTTGTATCAAAAATCTCAAATCTCAAAACAAATAAGCGCCAACAATAGTCTAAAGAAATTGAATTAAAAAGAATACAACTTGATGCAATTCTCTTTAAAGTGTAGCATTTTGTTTCCCTTTAATGCTGAAGCTCCCAGAGGTTGTTTATATTTTTAAAAATTAAGGGGGGTCGATGTTTTGTATCTCTTTATTTGTTTTAGTATCGTACTGTAATAATAAATAATATTATAAGAAAATCCATTGATGGATGAATATTAGGATTTAAATAATTTAAATCAGTAAGGATTAAACTTCATACATATTAATGAATTTGAAAATTTTATTTATCCAAATTATACAATGAAAAGGTAGTTAAAACAATTAAAATTTTAAAAACATATGCAAGCAAAGCAACATTAGTAACGTGTTGGGCTAATGTACTTTGAATTTGATTTAGCCCATATATGATGATATGTATTTTTACATATATATTTACTAATCCAAACACTTTTAAAAAAAAAATTATATTATATTACATATTTTGTAGTAGTTGTCAAAGTATAAATTATTATATGTAAAGCTACTATATAGTTCTAGATATATAAGAATGTCTATATTACTAATCCAAACACTTTTAAAAAAAAATTACATATCAACTTATAGCTTTTTGAAATCAAGCAAGCACTTTTTCAGAAAATAATTTATTGTCACCAATAAGCTAATAAACAGTTTTTATTGGGTTAAATAAGCAAATGCTAAACAAATAAATTTATTTGATAAATCTTGAAACAAAAAGCAAGGCAATGAGACAAAAAATCACAATATCCAAAAAATCAACATAACCAAAACATTTTAAGTTCACAAGCTAATCCAAACACTTATTAGGAAATATTTTTTTCTCACCAATAAGCTAATAAGCAGTTTTTATAAAAAAAGTGCTTATTTGGTTAAACAAGCAAAATCCCAAACACCCCTTAATATTCACAAATTTATGTTGAATATTTTACCATCTTTCATAGTTATTATTATTAATTTTTTCCAAAAACAGTAACATCAATAGCTATGAGTTATCTGGTAAAATTGTTCTATATACCACTTTATCCGGTAAAACTAAATTGGCGGAGTTCATGACTTGAAGGTCATGCTATCTTCACAATAATAAAATTAGTTTTTCTAAACTAAAATTAATTTGACTTCAATGCTATATAAACGTATTGTTGGTGTTGATTAATTCACACTACTTCAAATTTCAATATGATGATAATGGTTTCTTCCATCATCTTGATGAAGGGTGCATTAGCATTGACACTTTTGTAGATGAGCATTGGTGGCCTCTATGGTAACTCACAATCCTTATGTTTTTTTTTCTTCTTTGTAATGTAGTCATTGTTTGTAATGTCTTTGGGATAACTTATTATTTGCAATGTAGTCATTGTTTGTAATGTCTGAAGCATGTTTGGTAGTATGTGAAACTCTTACGGAAAAACAAATCTAACTTGGAGTTCTAGCAAAAAAAAATACTGTTAAATTTTAGATAAAAACAAACCACCCCACTAAAAATCTAAACACTTGCACCTTGTGTTTTACGGATATAAATGTGCTTCTCTATTGATTTCATTATATATAATGAATGTGCTTATAATTGATACATTTGAAAATTAAATAAAGATAACTATCTTTTTCATTTTCATATCTTAAAAGAACGATGTTCCTATTTAGAAAAGAACATCGATCTGCGTCATTCTTTCATATCATTGTATTTCTTATTTCTCTTTCATGATGGCCAAACAAACGTTTTTTTTTGTTCTTCTTCTCTCAGTAACCCCATGAATTAATCACATTTAAATACAAATCACAAAATCGTGTGCTTCCTATTCTTTGGCTTGCCAATAGAAATAATAACAAAAGAAAGATGAATTGTAAAGAAGTCTCACAAACTGCCCTCAACAAATAATGAAAATAGAGAATTAAAATTAAGCACTTAACACAATAGCCACAACAACTGAGCAAACTAAGAATCTCCAAGAATTTACTAAGCACATAAAATAAACACTTAACTAGTCAAAAAAAAAAAACCTTGAATTCGAACCTCCACATAAACAAAGTATCATGAATAAACCAAGAAAATCACAAAGCATAAAGCAAATATGAAAATAGTAAAATAAAAGGTCAAATAGAACCAAATATTTAAAAGCTTTTACAACTAACAACTTCATAGAAACCTTCCGTTAATTGTATCTAAAAAAGAAAACTTTAACCTAATTCCAAGACTTACATTTTAGTTATGCCTTATGCCTGCTTAACTATAGGACTCTTGCCGACACCCATGTAAAATAATCAAACTTTTTAAAGTTGAATAAAAAATTGTAGTTTATTTAATTTTCACAAGTATTAATTATAAGCACATTCATTATATATAATGATATCAATAGTGAAACACATATATATTCGTAAAACACAAGGTGCAAGTGTTTAGATTTATAATGGGTTGGTTTGTTTTTATCTACAATTTAACAATATGTTTTTTTTGCTAGAACTCCAACTTATTTCGTAAAAGTTTCAACGACTACGACTTTCTTTCAACAACCTCCGGTATCACTTTGCGGATAATGTAATGTAATTTGCAATGGGAGATGAAACTCATATAAGATTTGACAGGACATAGTATACTTACTACATTATAAGTTATGCCAAAGACATTACAAAGAATGACTACGTTACAAAGTTACAAAGAAGAAGAAGAAAAAAAACATAAGGATTGTGAGTTACCAAAGAGGTTACCAATGCTAATCAACAAAGTGCCAATGCTAAGGCACCCTTCATCAAGATGGAAGAAGCCATTATCATCATATTGAAACTTGAAGCAGTGTGAAAATTAATCAACACCAAGAATACGTATATATAGCATTGAAGTTAAATTAATTTTAGTTTTTTTTTAAAAGAACTAATTCTATTATTGTGAAGATAGCATGACGTTCAAGTAATGAGCTCTACCAATTTTAGTTTTACCGGATAAAGTAGTATATAGAACAATTTTTTACCATATAGTTCATAGTTGTTGAAGTTACTTTTTATGGAAAAAATTAATAATAATAACTATGGAAGATGACAGAATATTCAAACATATATTTGTGAATATTAAGGGTTGTTTGGGATTTGCTTGTTTAACCAAACAAACACTTTTTTTATAAAAACTGCTTATTAGCTTATTCGTGACAAAAAAAATATTTCCTAATAAGTGTTTGGATTAGCTTGTGAACATAAAATGTTTTGGTCATGTTGATTTTTTGAAATAGATTTATAATCTATTTTAGAATCCGGATATTGTGATTTTTTGTTTCCTTGCCTTGCTTTTTGTTTCAAGATTTATCAAATAAATCTATTTGTTTGGGATTTTCTTTATTAGGGTTGCTATTATGTAAATAATGAAAATAGAGAATTAGAATTAAGCATTAACACAGTAGTCACAACAACTAAGCAAACTAAGAATCTCCAAGTATTTACTAAGCACAAAAAATAAACACTCAACTAGTCAAAAAAAAAAAAAAAAGCCTTGAATTCGAATCTCCAAAGAAACAAAGTATCATGAACAAACCAAGAAAAATCACAAAGCATAAAACAAATATGAAAATAGTAAAAGAAAAGGTCAAATACAACCAAATATTTAAAAGTTTTTACAACAAACAACTTCATAGAAACCTTCCGTTAAATGTATCTAAAAAAGATAACTTTAACCTAATTCCAAGACTTACATTTTAGTTAAAAAAGAAAACTTTAACCTAATTCCAAGACTTACATTTTAGTTATGCCATATGCCTGCTTAACTATAGGACTCTTGCCGACACCCATGTAAATTAATCAAACTTTTTAATGTCGAATCGGAAATTGTAGTTTATAGAATCAAACCAACAATTAAAAAAAACCACAAACCAACAAAAACATAGAAATTGAATCGTGAAGCAACAAAGTAGAGAACTTGAAGAGGTTAAAGACGCCTAAAAAGAAAATCAAAATTCTAAAAATAAACTCATTTTAAATTAATCAATGTGGGAGAAAAAACAAGATGAGGAATCAACCTCACCTTCAACCGAATATGTTGGACGTAAAAAAATTGGAGAATTCAACATTAGAAAGCAAAAATCAATTGGATTGCCAAAAAAAAAAAACAACCTTAAATGGAAAAAAATGAAGAATATACTCTTGAACCCGTATAAAGGCCAGCCATGGAAAGATAGAACCAAAGCCAAAACAACCAAAAACAACCCAACCATATATCTTAATAATATGATTGTTGGACATTATTATATGATTATTTTTGTTTATAAGTTGTTACTTGTTGACAATTAATATTTTTTCTCTTGTTTACGATATTATTGTTTGTTATTTATTCAATTTGATTTATTAATATAAATATGAGAATACGTCTTAAATTGTTATAAAATATTCCTTTTTATTTTTAAATAATGTTCAAGTCTCGTTGTGAACATAGGTGAAATTAAAGAGTAGTTTAATATTAGATTAGATTCTGTGTTAAAAAATGAGTTAATATTATATCTTTGATAATCCAACCCATTAATCGAAAATATGTGACTTTTTATTTTGTCATCTAATTCAAATCTTTCATATTTATCATGTTCTATAAGTTCAAATTAAGCACCCTAAATGTTTCTAAATTTCATATTTTATACAATTAAGGCAACCTTCTTAAAGAAAATAGATAGACGTTAAATTTAAAACATGAATGAATATTAATTATAACAAAGGCCAGTGTCTAGTAACAATCCATTTTTTTAGTTGATAAAGTAGAAACAAACGTAATGAAATCCACTAGTAATTATTGAATGTACATGGAAAAATTTACTGGAAGTTTAAAAAAAGAAAAAATTATAAAAACAGATGACAAGCCATTAAACGAAAAAAAAAAACACAATCGCGACTAGGGATGTTATTCGGGTCGAAACCGGACCGAACCGACCCGAACCCGGATAACCCGAAAACCGAATAAGGGTATTTGTATGAGCCGAAAACCGAACCGATTAACCAATACGGGTTCAGTTAGGTTCGGGTATTAATCGAGTTCGGTTCGGGTATTAATCGGGTCGGTTTGGTTATTACCCGAATAACCCGAATAACATGTACAAGATGATTAATGACCGAATATAACCGAAAAAATCGAATAAACAATATTAGGATTCTATAACCCGAACATAACACAATAACACATTGAAAGAATAACATTTACATAGTAGATTAAACATAATACAAATTAATTTCTTACTTGAGGTTCTTGTGTTGGAGCCTAATTTTTCATGACTAGACAAAGTAGAAATTCGTGAATCCTTAGAGACAATAGAAATGGTCGATTTTTGAAAGTCTGAAGCAAGAGGATGGATCGACAGACGTGATTTGGAGTTTGGAAATAGTTGAGAAGATTGGTCGATTTTGAAATGATGAGAACGAGCATAGAGTTTTTTTTTTCTGTTATGAACGACGAGGACAAAAGTGTGAATCGTGATTTTGATTTCTGTCGATAAGAGAAAGGGGATGAGGAGTGCTTATTCGGGTCGGGTATTTAGAACCAAATAAGCTCTTATTTGGGTAATCCGAACCGAATAACTCGAGAACCGAATAAGCATAATATAGATACCCGAAACCCGAATCGAATTGTTTATTCAGACCTAATTCGGTTTAGTTCGGGTTGGGTTTCCTGGCCAAATTCTCATCCCTAACCGCGACACTCAAAAGGAAGAAAATAAGCACATCAAAAGTAACTAAGATGTTCAAAAATACTCATATGTATTGCCTTAATTTGTCATATTTTAATGATGTAGCTTAACTGTTCAAGTCTAGACTAGTATCTTAACAATTTGCAATGTTGTTTCATATTGAGTTTTCTGGTCTTTTTTACTAACGATATGAGATCTATCTCGCGAAGTGGAGGTACCATCCTAGTAAAATCTTTTAGGTCCCCTTGCGAGACACTCTAGGTTAGGTCCGGGTGAAACAAACACTGATGGGCCTATCTAATTTCTATGTGCTATCTCTACTTGGTGTATGCATGATCACACTTTTCTTTTATGCAAGCCCCTCAAACACAAGTACCATGATATGCTATGCTTGCACAATAAACATGTTTAATAGAAAAACATTCAAAGCCACAAACTTTATCTAGAACTATATTTAATATGTAAGACATTCAAGACTACAAACTTTATCATGACAAACAACGTGGACTCACAAAAACATTAAATCAAATAGCATTTAATATCTTGGATAAATTTTCAGTATATGTAGATTGATATTGGGTACGAAAGTTGTTTTATATACATTGACATATGTAAAAGAGTGATTTTAGTTGGATATTCCCATTAGACTATATACATATGACATAATATATGAATGCATTCCCCTAGTCTGGCACTAGCACATCACTGGTAAACAACTGTAATATTGTGGATGTCTTTGGTCTATCCTTCGGTTTTTGCTGAAGGCATAGATATGGGATATCAATAATCCTCATCACTTCATCATCGACGTCCTCATCTTGTAGTAGTGGATCCTTTAACTTTGATTTCTTTTTTTTTTCTCCCATAGATGCCATGCCTAAAACCATTTCAAAGTTTCAATTAGTAGATGTACTGATTGTGAGGTTAGATGAATTATTTTTCTAATATAACGGATGTATAAAAATCATATGTCAACTAAACTTACATAATCCACGATTGATCCAGAAGTGTTTTCTAGAAAAGATGTGCTTACAGCACTTATTCCGCTCACAATTTTGAGCATTAAGACTCCAAAGCTAAAGATATCATATTTAGTGGAGAAGGTTCTACTTGTTATATACTCCAGAGCCATGTATCGACTGCATGTTATATATATATATATATATATATATATATATATATATATATATATATATATATATATATATATATAGTTTTTTATGCTTAAAAAACAATGATACCCCACCCATATGGATGGTGTAAGAGATAGTTTGGATATTTGTCTTATATCTGATATACCTTTTATTAAAGACAAGTAAAAGAACCATGTTGCCATATATCAATATAACCAACTTTTATGGATATTCAAGTAGATCTAGAAAAAATGAAGGGTGTTCTTACTATGTCCCATTCAATGTTTTTGTCGATGTCGCGATCTCATTTAGATCCAAAAACTTGGCCAAGCCAAAATCAGAGATCTTCGCGTTCATATTTTGATCTAAGAAAATATTACTGGCCTTAAGATCTCTATGAATGACTTGCTTATTTAAGTCCTCGTAAAGATATGTTAATCCCTTGACAACCATTTGAATGATGTTTTTCCGTGTTGGCCACCTTAGCTTCATCCTCATGGCTTCATCTACACAAATGTTATAGGAACTTAGACAATCATAGATTTGTATTGAGATATAATTATCATATAAACTTTGTTTAATATTTTTTTTTCTTACCGTAGAGATGGTAATCCAAACTCTTATTCTCCATGATATCATAAACCAAGATCAACTCAGATCCACGAATACAACAACCTCTGTCACACCCCGCTAAAGCGGAAACACAGGGCGTGGCAGTATGTGTATGAGCAAACAATGAGTTCTCATCCAAACCTATGACTGAAGCCCTATCAAGATCTATGTTTATCGTTCCATAGATTAATATGGTATCATGCACTCCAACAATAGGGCGAGTGAGGAGTTGTCAATTCCTAATAGCGCTATCCATAATGACCATTGGCTCAAAGAGTTAATGGTTAGAGATAAGGGAAGGGCCTTAATACGATAAGTTCTCATGTTCCGTGTTGCATATACATACATAGAGAGATATAGCAATAAAATAGCAATCATGTTTGATACAAATCAATTTAAATACAACATTCAAATAATAATTTTTCGGAACATGCTTTTCCACCCCAAAACATAAAAACTGAAAATAGGGGAGTGCGTGAATACTCACAATGCATTGAGATGATGCAAATGATGCCTTGAACTACGTTCCACGTGTACCACTACCGATTCCTACAATAA